TTCGAAGATTTCTCCGGAAATTTTCGAAAATTTTTTTTTGAGTGGAGATCTCCGGAGATCTCCACCAAAAAAATTTCTTGATGAAGATGAGAACTCAGATGTGGTATCATTTAAAAATCGCTTTTTTCTTTTAGCCTTGCATGGTGTATGATTTCTTCGAAATATATCAGGTTTTACTATTGAATTTATAATATCTTCCTAAATCTCAGGTTTCACTATCTCTAGTAATCGGTGAAGAGAGATCCAGATTTTTTTATCCGATACTTGCTTAACAATATCAGATACTGCTTTATCGATAATATTGGGTAAACTTTTATCTTTTACAAAACCCAATTTTTTCGCAATCTTATAAGTGATAATTGGACATTTTGAGCCTGAATCAATTATTCCCTCCACATCTTCATCATTGATGTCAATCAAACATCGTTTAAAGTTTTTTATGGATTCATCCACCAGGTTGTCATCAATATTGTTATTAGCTTCAGTCATTGTAAATGCAAAATTATTATTTATTAATACGAATTTAAAAATCTAGAATTAAATATATTGTTATAATAAAACATCACTATGAGAATTTTATATTGTGAAATTAATAAAGCACCAGTAGCTGTTATATTGGATTCTGATGCTAATTGTAATATTATGGGCGAGAGTATAACAAAAATAGTAAGCTTGAAAATTAATAATACCTCCAATACGGAAATATACAGTCCCATTAGCGAGATCAATATATTGGAAATAATTCATGCAATAGAGATTTCGATCCAATATCAAGATCGTAAATGAAAGCAAGTAAAAGTTACTGATGTTTTCGTTACCAATGAACCTGAACTTGAATCTGTACTAATATTGGGTCAGCTGTGGTTCCAGGAAAATGCAATGAAACTGAACTTCCCAAATAAAACTCTCACATTACTCAATGAAACTAGTTGTAAGATTAAGTTAATTGAGAATATTTGGGAAATGTATAGCATATATGCCTAAAATTTCATACCATGTTGCATTGTACATTATATTAATTATTTATAGCAATAGCAAATTCCCATATTTTACGAATTCATGTATATGATACATTATATTTTTTAGCTAAATCCTGTAATGCATTTGCTGAATTCTTAGTAGTAATTATACCACTAATTGCTTCGGATGATAAGCATGTAACATCTGATTTTAATCTTCTAATTATTTATATATGCAAAAATTAAAACCATATTAAATACATCTGAAATAAGTAGTAAATACAGTATATAATGAGTTATAGCAGAGTGCAAGACATGTTAAGTGAATATGGTGAAAATTATATTGTTAACAATATTAAAACGTCAGAAGCATGGTTATGGTTTGCAAAATATTATCCACCAAAATACGTACGCAAATGTTTATTAAAACTAGGATATGAAATAAATAGTAAAGATTATTGGGAAAATTTTATATTTCATATCAAAAATAATTTGACCAGCCATAAGCAAATAGGCAATGACCCTAATTATAGGGATTTTAAAGTTCAACTAGCATTATATAAAAAAAATCGTGCATTATTAATTATCCAGAAGACATATCGTTTATGAAAAAAACAAATATATTCAGCTAAAATAATTCAGCATGCAATAATTAAATGGTTCAATCAACCAGGTGGATCATTTATGAAGCAAGCCAAAGATCAATATTATCAAAATTTGAATAAGCTCCATTATAATAGCATTGGGAGTAAATAATAACGAATATACTTTAAGAAATACTTTCTCTGTAAATTGTCTTGTGATAACTAGTTAGAAGTCTGAAGATATAGAACAGATCTGTCATTAGATGAGCTGATTGTAAAGTTAAGCAAAGTTGAGAATATCCGGAAAATGCATAGTATATGTATATGCCTAAAATTAATTATCCAAACATTAGTTATTTTTTTCGATTAAAGATATATAATACACAAATTGAAAATGATACAATTAAATATTTTTGATTTACCCGAATTACTAGAACAGATACTAGATTCTAATCAACTATAATCACTGGCACGAGTGGTAAATCTTTGAATCTTTTTTCAATATGGGCTAATACCTTTCTCGATAATATCTTTGATGGAAGTGCCTCTATTAATACTTTCTCAGCATCTTTTTCAGTACATATATATATCCACATTATATGTATTAATTTCCCGCCCTTGTAGTTATGTCCGTGATGAAGCAAAAATCGATACTCGTCCATTACAATATCAATCATCTTCTCCTGATCTGATATTAATTCCCGAAAAAGTTGTTTATCTTCATCTGTAATTAGAAGACAAATTTCTTCAGGACTAGTGTTCCGAATGGGTCAGTTTGGGTCGGGTTTGGGTTTGACCCGATATGACCCATTTGATAGCATTTGGGTTTGGGTCGGATCGATCATCAACCCAAACCCAACCCGAAGATCATTGGGTCAGGTTCGGGTCAGATTCGGGTCAGATTTGGGTTATACATGATAAAATTTGATTGGTTATTAGAACACTTACT